ATAATTATAGTGTAAATAGTATCTGCATTAGTTTATACTTTGTCAATGCAGATGTAACTGGTACAATCTTGGAAGCCTTGGTGACACGGCACAGGTTTCACCAATCTGGTATGTATTGTTTATGTGTTTCTCATGAGTGTGTAATTATCATGTAGTATTGTACTTGTCTAGTGTTATGACAGTAGACATGGTTTATGTTGAGTGCGGCGTAAAACAACAAACCAAACCAAACCAAACCAAATCTGATGACATAATATATTTACATAAATCATAATAGGATGTGTACATAATCTTGAAGTTTCCACAGTTTGAGTATGTCAAGCCCAAGAAATAACAAACAATAAACAAGTGTTCAAAGATTGTTGTTGCATGGAAAAGTAAGTGACAGTCAGACACAACTGATCACTTACGTTTGTTTCTGGTGTTTCATATAGGTGTCAAGTCTCATTGGTCAGCTGCGATAGCACACTTGACAGCTTTTTTCACAGTCCACAGTTCACAGTTCTTGAAATAAATCCATTGAGTTATATAACAATGAGCAATCAATCAACGTATTATCAGCTAATCATTTGTTGTTTTAACATAGGCACTTCATGCCCATATATGGGTGTTCCTTCTGATTTAGTAAACTTACACATGGAAAACACTTAGTTTTAACAAATTCACTTTGCAAAATAACATTAATTAATAAATCAACATTGGTTATACAGTCATCTTTTGACGTTTTTGTTAGCTAAAACCATCAAGGGGAATTTCCATACAACAACATCTTATGAGCCACCACCATTCTTTTTGTGGTTTGGTTTAGGTTGAAGAAGTTTATTAAGATGCCCCCTTTGTACTATCAGCATCTTCATAGATCACAGGTAACAAATCAGTGTTCAGAAATGCGTATTAATAACGACTACGAGGCAGTGTTAGACAGCCTGGAAGAAGCCAGCAACTAGTGCCCCTTTAATGATTAGTGTTTGCAATTTTTTTTTCTTTGAATGAATTTAAGAAAGAAAGGAATGTAAGAAAATCCCAATTTGAACAAAATTAGAGTTTTATAGGCCCACAATATATCCCTGCGTGGAGACAAGGGTCCAAATTGGCCTATTGGCCTACCGATAACATGTCTAAAAATAACATGCAAAAATATAGTCTGTCAACATGGTCCATGAAAATAACATGAAATATTTAACTGCTTTAAATATGTTGAATTAAATGATAAATATTCACATTTTTAACTCACATCATGATAACTAGGGCTGGGATGGGCAACTCGGGCGGGTCATGAGTAGGACCCTGGTACCCACAGTACTAGATCTACTCGGACCTCTGTTTAGTCACGTGATATTTTGTTTAATGACAATAACAACCAATCTCGATGGTTACACTTCAAGGCGCTACGTGCTCGCATTGCAGACAATGCACACATTTCTTCTGATTTTTATATGTTTGAGTAAGTATTGAAGCTTCTGTCAACTTCAGTGTATGCATGGTCAGATTGTTTAATGCGTGTATCTTAGACATTTTTGCCAGGGCTCTGGTAAAACAATTCCCAAATGGAAATTTTGCACCAAACTCTTGAGACCTACAGCTGGTACCTCGGTTCCTATACTCGGAAAAGGAGCTGGCTAAGGTAGTCAATTCTTTTTGTTTTTAGTGCTGCTTTGAACAAAACTGTGCAGACATGTGCATGTATTAAATGGCTGCTGAATGCTTAGTTATTAAAATAAAATAAAACATTGCACAAGAAGTCTATGGGAAAACATCTCTTTGTGTGTAACCTATATCATGTTAAATCCAGCCCTGATTGTGAACAGTTTATACTTGCAAACCCCTTTCATTTTCTGACATTGCACCTATCTGTTCTGATATAATGTATGTTCCATTTTCACACTTTGGCTTTGGTAATGTCACAACAAGACATTTGCGAAGATTTCCTTTTGAAATATTGAGGTAGTCTCATAGATAAGGAAAAAGGCAAAGAAAAGTCCAGAATGAAGGAAGGGTGCTCCATGTTCTATTTCACATTTAAAGAAAAGAAAACATGATATTTGCTGATTTTGGGCATTTATATTTGTCTTAAAAGGAAGTGGTAGGTGACGTTTACAGAACACAACTTGAGAACTGTTGAAGACTTTCATCCAAACCAAGTATATGTATTAACCAAGGGCTGAAATGGTGCCATTTATGAATTTTTCAAAATTTGATTTTTTCCCTGTTTCCATGTAAATAAGTTAGACTCAGCTGAAACACTGGTTGATTTCAGTTGGGAACAGGTCTAAAAAACTATTCAACATTTTTTCATCCAAACCTGGTCCATGTATTAATAAAGGGCTGAAGTTGTTTTTAAGGAATTTCAATAGTGTTAAAAGCTGCGTAAAACCCAACTCACTTACTCACTCACTTTTGATAGATGGATCTGTGTGTGATAGTTGTCCCAAAGGCTTACTTTCCACATTATGCTTTATTGGTAATTACATATTCAAAACAGAATGGTTTAATAAATTTCTTTTTTTCATTGATGGTTTGTTCTTGTTCCTAACTCTATATAGTTTTAAGCGAGCTTGCTTAAAGTGCACACAAATTGCAAGACTATCAAATGCAGTTTACTCTGAAAGTGCTTATCAACCAGATCTGCAGAGTCAATTGGAATAGTGATAGAAGATGTGTGTTTTACAAAAAGACTTCGGGGAGTGAAGTGTTGGTCCTGGTTTCATTTTGAGAGTGAGTGAGTTCAACAAAGAAGGGCAAAAGGTTAACTTTAATTTCAGAACCAGCAGCCTTAATTGTTGATTTTGCCAAAGCATTCTTGCAGGGAAATACTGCCTTGTGTGATATTTAAGATACGAGGGAGCAGTTCCATGCACTGCTTGATATGCCATTGAAAGAAGTTTGAAATAAAGTCAACAATACCCATAGTAAAAATTTAGCACATCCGCCTTTCGGGCCACCTAAAATGATGGATTTGTGTTTGCAGAAATTTATGGAAATATTACATATTATAATACCAAGTGCAGACTGCTAATTCTAACCGTTTGATGTGGCCAGCCTGGCTGCATATTTTTGTGTCATTTAAATACCGCCAAAGTTTGTTTGTTTGTTTGTTTGTTCGTTGTTTAACGCCGCACTCAGGAATACTCCAGCTATATGACGGCGGTCTGTAAATAATCGAGTCTGGACCAGACAATCCAGTGATTGACAACATGAGCATCACTCCAATCAATTGGAATGCGATGACATGCATCAACCAAGTCAGCGAGTCTGACCACCTAATCCCGTTGGTCATTTTACCCACACTTGAACTATGAATGGTTATACTATGATGTTGCACATCAGTTGTATGTCTCACAGTCCCTGAACCACATTATTTCCCCTTCTGCCCAGGCCTTTCTGTAATGCAAAAGCCCTAAATGAAGCGAGTGTTGATTTTTCTCAGGTTCTGGAATCTCCCATTTCACTAGGTCTCCTTTTTCATTTAAATAGAGTGATTTGTTTCGATAACAAGTTAATATTTCCAGTGACTAAGCATTCGTCTAGCACATAAGCCGATTTCTGAGTTTCAAGAAGTAACAATAGATCTTCTTTGAAGGATTTAAGATATTGCTAACATCTTGAAACACATAAACAACCATAGGGTGACATTAAATGAGCAACCAGCAACCATTTTATATTAATAATAATGTGTGTGTGTGTGTGTGTGTGTGTGTGTGTGTGTGCGCGTGTGTGTGCTACGACAAAAAGTTCGTTAGTCTAGCGGTACTGGAACATTGCAAAATGTTCTTTTGATATATACTAACTTCCTGACCACCACTTTCCTGATGACTAATCACTGTCCAAAAACAATACACAACAACCACAATCAGTGTGATTGGTAAACATCCCTTTATATTGGGCATTGGCAGCCAAGACCAGTATGATCAACAGGTGTAGTCCATATCAACTGGTACACCAACCTACCATCGACACTGACAGATGAACAAATGACGGATGTGTGCCTGGAGAGTCTGATTGGTCGATCGTGTTGTTTAGATAAAGACGAAAACAAGGACAGTCTGCTCCTCTGGGGTCGCTTTGCATATGAAATGGAATTTCTGCTCAGATTGGCAACGTCAAAGGAAGGGTAATTTGGCAAATATGTTTAACTTTAGCTTCAGGTATATGGATTATCAGATATCGTTCAAGAACGGTCAAATAGCCAAGTCCTATCCAACGAATTGCCCATCTTAACAAGGCCTTAGAAGCAAGTAAAACCAGTCAAGCTCCGGTGCAGAATAGGTCTTTAGCAATCCATGCTTGTCGTAAAAGCCGACTGTGGTTGTCGTAAGAGGTGACTAATGGGATCGGGTGTACAAGTTCATTGAATTTGTTGATGCATGTCATCGAATCCCAATTGATTGGCAAAACGTTCTCCACAAGGCTGTCGAGTATTATTCCAGCAGCTCCAGCCTTTGTTATCTGCATTTCACAACTTCTGAGGTAAAATAGAGCATGATATAAAACAAAATCATGCTAACCTTTGCTCAAGCGTTGTTTGGTCAAGATTGCAACATTCAAGGCATCAACAAAGCTTTAAAAGTACTTTATGGGAGACACATGGAGGACATTTCCAAATTTGACAAACACGATGTCCTATGCAATGCCCTGTTTACAATTGTACAATACACGGTGGCATGTTATTATGACTATTTGATAGCAATTAACAAATACATGCTTATGATCAAGTCAAATAATTTGCGTATTAGAAGAGCTTTCTTATTCTTATGGACATTTTTTATTGACTCTTATGGTGTTTATTATAACGAACATCATTTAGAAAGATGAACTCGTATAACAGTGCATCAATCTGCATATATTTGGTATGATGTTTCTTCAATATTGTAGTAAAAGTTCATTCACTGCACAGCTACCACTTTCATCCTTATTGTCCAGAATTACCTTTTCTTTGTCGGCAGTAGCTATAGTGACATGTGAAAGGATATATTTCACAATATTTATATTTCTGGATTTACAGGCAAAATATAGGATGGTGTTGCCATCTGTATCAACGAAAGACAGATTTGCTCCTTTCGTCACAAGGAAGTGAAATACGTTTCTCTTCCCCTTCAAGGCCGCCTTCATTACTGCCGTCCTTCCATTCTTTTCTCTGCTGTTAATGTCTACAATATTCTGTGCGAGAATATACACAACTATATCCACATTTCCACCCTCCGAGGCATAATGAAGAATGTTGTTGTCATTGTTATCCACTAAAATCAGATTTGCTCCCTTCTTCACAAGTAAATCAAATGCTTCTTTATTTTGAATTAATGCTGCATTCATTAGTGGAGTCTTCCCATGCCATGCTCTTGAATTGATGTCATCCACAATATTCTGTGTGAGAATATACTTCACTATCTCCACGTTTAATCCATCACAGGCCTGATGAAGAATGTTCTCCTGTCTTGCAGTTACGCTTGTCAGATCAGCACCTTTACTTACCAGCAAGTGAAACACCTCTTCAAGTCCCTGGAGTGCTGCCAGCATCACAGGTGTCCTGCTGCCCTTTCTTCCACCGTCGATGTCCACAGTTGTTTTTGTGATCAAATACGTCGCTATTTCAGTTTGTTTGCTAGTGCAGGCCAGATGAAGGACGTTGACATAATCCTCATTCTCTTGTGTCAGATCCGCGCCTTCTCTCACAAGGAAATAAAATAAGTCTCTATGTCCCTTATATGCTGCTATCATTGCTGGTGTCAATCCGTCTCCGTCTTTGCTGTTGATGTCTACAGTGGTTCGGTGGAGGACATACTTCACTATATCCACATTTCCGCCATAACACGCCAAATGAAGGATGTTTTCATCTTTTTCACTCTCATAAGTCATATCTGCTCCTTCACTGGTAAGTAAGTCAAACACTTCTTTATGTCCCCCCTTCGCTGCCACCATTGCTGGTGTCCATGCTTCTTCGTTTTCGCTATCGATGTCTACAATATTTTGTTTGAGGACATACTTTACTATATCAGCATTTCCTCCTTCACACGCCATAAGAAGGATATTGTTGTTTTTTTCCTTCATAATCAGATTAGCTCCTTTCTTCACAAGTAAATCGAATATGTCTCTGCGACCCGTCTTTGCTGCTATCACTGCTGCTGCATTGCCATCCATGCCGTTGCTGCTCATTGCATTAATATTCTGTTCGAGAGCATATTTCACGATCTCAATATTTCCCCCTTTACATGCCATGTGAAGGATTGTCTCATGATCAGCATGCATTATTGACAGGTCAGCGCCTTTTTGCACTAATAAATTAAACACGTCTAGTTTCCCGTTAACTGCTGCAAGCATGACAGGTGTCAGCCCGCAGTGTTTCCTGTTTATGTCCACACTGTTATGTTTCAATACATATTCTACTATCTCAGTATGTCCTCCCCGAATGGCCAGATCCACAAAAGTAGATCCCTTATCATCAAATAGTGTTAGATCAGCACCTTTACTCACAAGCAAGTTAAATGCGTCTTCATGTCCCCTCAACACTGCTAACATGGCTGCCGTCGACCCGTCCCGTCTTCTACTGTTGATGTCTGTCACGTTCTGTTCGAGGACATACTTCACTACTCGAACATTTCCCCCTTCACATGCCACATGAAGGATGCTCATCTCAGCTCTACTCATGATTGACATACTGGCTCCTTGCCCCACGAGAAAGTCAAACACTTGTCTGTGAGCATTCTGTGCTGCAAGCATCAGTGGTGTCATTCCGTTCTGTCCTCTTGTGTTGATGTCTGCATGACCCTCAGATAATAAGTATTTGACTCGGCACATGTCTTCATTCTTGCAGGCATCGAGGAGATGAGTGTTTGACTGACTTTGGTATTGTGTGTGATTCTGTGTTACTGAAAGAAGACATCAATATTTATCATGCAAAACTGGCTTCCACAGTAGATTGGGTGAGATCTACATTGAAATTGCATTAGAATGCTTTGTAGATCATTGTGACGTCATTGTTACAAATGACATCACAAATGAAGCTGTAAGCAGTACTTTTAACACTTAAGCCACTGCTTATTACCATCTACAAACTAAAGAAGTTGGACGAATGATGTCGGATGATAAATACGCATAGGAGTTTTTCCTCTTTTATCACCTCGTGATTGATATATTTGATATCAAAAGACACTCGGGTGATATTCTCTATTAGTCATCAGAAACATATATTGAAGATTCTGTATTAATCTTCATCTTATTTTGTTTAGTATGTGTAAAGTTACACACATATATCAATGTGTGTTCTGTTCAGTGCTAGTTTTCAATTACAATGGAATTTCAGTAGCATATAATGCAACCCATTTCGTAATGTAGGGATTGATATTATGAGCAAGGACCGACACAGTCAGTGAAAGATAACACAATTTCTACAAGTCATCGGATTGATGACCCAGTCTATGTAGTCGTTTTGGAATAGATACCACTGGTGACCAATCATCACCAAGGGGCCCGTGAAGATTCGGGGTAGAGTAGGTCTTCAACAACCCATGCTTGCTGTAAAAGGAGACTATGCTTGTCGTAAAAGACGACTAACAAGATCGGGTGGTCAGGCTCGGTGACTCGGTTGATGCATGTCATCGGTCCTAATTGCGTGGATCGATGCTCATGTTGTCAATCTCTGGATTGTCTTGTCCAGGCTCGATTATTTACAGACCGCCGTCAATAGCTGGAATATTGCTGAGTGCAGCGTTAAACAACAAATCAAACCAAACTAAATCATTACCAAGGACCCGGTAACAGTATCAGTTTGAGACGTTTGGGCATAATAGCCCAACTAGTCAAGAGAGTATCAAATGAAATTGCACAAACTTATAATAGTGTAGAAAAATGGATTCAGAGAGTTTATTTTATGATTTCATTTGTACAACAGTTTCTGTGAGCATGACTGACAGAGATTTTTTATGATTATGAAAATGGTTTTGTTCAGTATATTTATGTCAACTTCACTCTACTCCGCTAAAGGATAGCAAAGGGAGGCCTAAGTAATAAGTAGAAAATTATTTGAAACTTATTTCGTAGTTCATGCAGTCAGAAGGATGTGGCAAATGTAATGGCACAGAAATGAATGCACGACCTATAATAAGTATACAGGTGCTGTAGAACGTAGACTACATATACAAATACATTCTACATTACTGTTGTTATCCCATGTTGGTGTGTCATGGACTATTTATATTAAGGTTAATATGTAATGGGGATGTATGTCAGTGACATTTCTGTTGCTAAGCTCTAAAGGCCAGCCTAGTTCTGTAATAATCATCTACAGAGACTAAACAGCAGGGACGTAAGCTAGGCCCAGATGAATGCCTTTACCTTCGTGATCCTCGGGTTGGGTTACCCAGGCCCCAAGTGGTGGAACATCCTGTTCACATGTCACTTCACTCGATGCTGAAACCAAATGTCATATGGGATCAGGATGCGTTACTTTTGTCAACGGGTCAAATATCACTTTGACATCGCCTCAAAATACAACTTAGAATCAAGAACTAGAAACCCAATGGATACTTTGATTTATGATTTTGGTCCAATAACCGAGCTGTTGGTTGCAAATAATCCTCATTTTGTGCCTGTTCCTAACCAGGATCCTGTGGCATATCCTCTTGTTTGAGGGGGCACGGGTGGCCCAGTCGTCTAAGGCGCCGCGATTCGCTGTGCAGAGTTGCGTCCCTTGGGCATGCCAGAAACCTATGATTGTGGGTTCGAATCCCGGTTCGCCCTGATTATGTTTCTAGGTTTGTCAGCACCATACCCGTGCTCGTGGGTTTCGCCGAAGTGGTAAACGTCTGAGACCTGCATCACTTCGGGATTTCCTCCCACATTAAGCTGACACGCCGTGACTGGAATACTGTTAAAAGCAGTGTTAAACCCAACTCACTCACTCACTCACTCACTCCTCTTGTTTGACATACTCTTACTTGGCTCATATTTGGTTTCTATTGGTCAAAATAGTAACACTTCAAGCTGGTTTATGAAATTGTGTACCTTAGATGTCCCGTTCCTTATACATCTGAAATCATCCAAATGACAATTATTCTACTGTTATGTTTCTGATTACTCAAACACAAACATTATTTTGGAAATTAGTTTATTGAAACATCTCATGCAAACTCCATGTTCTCGTTACTCATAATAATCCTGTGTAAAGCAGCGAGGGTAGAATGTACACTGGAAAGTCTGGTACCGAAATAACCATACAAGATCAATGAATAGTTAATAAATTATATTAAACACACAGGATTGAGTTCCCAATCATTAAAAGGCAACACAATAGGTCATATGTGGTAGCAGCAGAACATAATACGCATGTTTGCTGGTGTATTTGTGCTTGTAATTTATGTGTGAGTATATATGTGTATCTATTCTAATATAATGTATATATAATGTATGTATTCATAATGTATATGTATATATATATATATATAATATTTAAATAAGTGGAGTAAGATTGAACACACTTTTAATTGGCTAGCGCTTTCAACTCGTACCAGGTATGAGTCACATCAAGCCATAATTGAATAATGGACATGGAGTTGTAACATATAGTTACGTGACGTCTTTAGGAGAACTTTGATGTCACAATACCAAAGTGACAATGAACAAATAATTTAAGCCTTTACATTTAACTTAGACGCGTATTCATGAATAAAATGTTGCTCTTTTTGAAATAATGTAGGTTCATGATCACAATTTAGCTTATAAACCGGGAAAACTAAAACGTTGCCGCTTCCACATGTGTCTAAATGTTCACTTAGTGGCCTTGTGCGGTTGTGAGGCTTCTTTATTTGTGAACGGTGAAGATTCATTCTTCATTTTTATTTAAGTTCTGTCATTCCGATATACTTTTCATTGCATCCACTACAAACAATCAAATAAATAACATTTCTAGTATCACAAGTCATATTTTGTAAGGGATATTACGTTTTGTATGATACGGGAGACATGATCCAAAATTCAAATATTGGTGCGTATCCGTATCTATAAAATATATCAGTTTGTACAAGTCTCCCAGATATTAAATTTATTCTTACATCGAGAAAGGTTAGACTGGATTCGCTTTTTCCAAAGTGAAATTGAGTGACTCATTAAGTGAATTTAGAATTTCATGAATGGATGTAAGTTGACCTTCACTGGTTTTATATATGATAAAACAGTCGTCTAAAAGCCTTTTCCATGAATGTTCAATTTTTTCTTTCATAGATTCAACACGTGTATCTCGCACCTTATCATAAAACATATTCTCTAAAAATCCCAAAACAAGTGTTGCATAAATAGGGTCTACCTTTGTACCCATGGCTTCTCCTTTCTTTTGTGAATAATAAGATCCATCAAAATAAAACATAATATGATATTGATCATCATTTAAAATGGACATTATCTTTCTTTGATAAAATTATTAATTCATAATAACAATAGCACCTCCTTTATCGTCCTCTTTAATAATGATGTCTGTATTAAGTTTAAGAATAGTAAAGCCTTTCAATTCACATTCAGACAGGTATTGTTTTGTATGTTTAATATGAATAGAAGCACTTTAATTCTATCAGAATATATACATATATATATACCGAACCTGAGTCACATATATTACAAGCACGAATATAATTTGCTGATTTCTTTGACTTGATATCCCAAATAAACAATATGATGATATATTGGTCATGGTAAAATAAAGGAAACAGTTTCATACGTTGACAAACTGAATGCTGATATCTCATATCCCAGCCAACTTTTAATGACTTAATGAGATGTGAGACGTGTTCATAATTCTAAAGGCCAAATTAAATGTATTCTGCGGACATCCTAAAATGTTGTGTGTTCATTTTCCTTCCTAAGTTCTGTGTTGCGCACTAGGAAGAGTGCAAAGAAGACTGAAATACTAATATAACTACTTATTCAAAATCGATTCGTTAAAAGAAATGTCAAGAACAAGGAGGCTGATTATTTTACATTTCAACAATTACCTTTGACACAGACAGCTTTTCCACTTCGGGTCTTCAGACATTTCATACCCTTGCAAATCTTCAATGCACAGGGGCCGTCTCGGACCTGTACACATGAGTGAATGTTGTCACAACAGGGTAATGGCATGTCGTTTCAGTTCTTTAATTTGAAGACCATTTTGGTCTATCGCTTTATTTATAGGCAAAATATATGTATACAAGAAACGCCAAACGTATACAGTCGGTATTAAAAGTCAAAATCGTCGACTTAGTGCCAAAGTATTTGTAATTGTAATGTCATGTGGAAACAGTACACTGCCATGGTTACCGTTAGAGAAAAGCTGTGACCAAATAATGTGCAGGTTCGCCAAAACAATATGTGCACGTGCAACAACAGTAGAAAAGCGCTGTCACGTGTATTATTCCGACTGAAGAACCACGACCACGTGAAGCGCAGAGGGATAACGCCATCGCCCTCTTGGAAGAAGAATAGTCCAGTTCGGTCATCGCCAGGACGTTTTATGTGTCCCTAAGCATCATCACCAGACAGGGAGACCAATACCGACAACGTGGTTCAACCCGCGACTGTCCCAGATCCGGACGCTCTACGGCAACGGACCACCACTGCAACCTCCACAGTGTCTGTGATACCAGGTCGGCGTCAAATGTCGGACTAGACTGCACAACACTCGTGACTGACGAACTGTTCATGGTGTCGTTTTAACACAGCAACATCGCAAACGATGTCAGTGGTGTCAGTTGCACAGATTATGGCCTCAGCTGCCCTGGAGACAAGTATGGTTTACCGGTGAGACCAGACTTATGTTCCGTCGGCAG